TTGCAGTGAGCTGAGATCCAGCCACTGCACTCCAGCCTGGGCGACAGAGCGAGACTCCGTCTCAAAAAAAAAAAAAAAAAAAAAAAAAAAAAAAAAAATTTTTCAAAAATCGAAAAAAAAAAAAAAAAAAAAAAACTTTTCTCAAATCTGGAAAACAAAAACCAACAAAAAACTGATAAAGTTTCAAATAAAAATCATAAAAACATCCTCATCAGTTATTCAGTCTCGTGTAATTAATTTTTGTTCTGTTTGATCTTGATTAGCAGTTTCATGAACCCATCATTTCTTCATTAGAGTTCCCATAGATTTTTATTTAGTCCATTGATCTTTAAGTTACTAGAAACTTGTATTTAAGAGTACTTGTTAGAATCTTTTTTTATGAATCTGATTGCAAATGATTTTAGATAAAAATCAGAACAATAACTGTAGGCTGACAGAAACTTAAAATAGCCATGGTTAAAAATTTGATGAAAGTTTACCATAATCAGAAATTGACAAGGAAATTTGATTATTTTTTGCAGCATACATATAATCACCACAATTATGACTTGATGATACATTAGATCTCTAAGTTTTATATAATTTTAGAACACTGAATTAATCACATACCTATAAATATAACTAAAAGAAGATCCAGTATTACTTATCATTTGGCAATGCTTCTTACACAATTTACAAAATAAATTTAATCATTTAATATCTTTACAATGTGGCTTTCCAGGGGCCTAGCTAGAATATCCAAAAGTTAGTTCTAGGTCAAAAATGTTTAATTTAGAATTTTGATACTGGCGAGGTCTATCAAAGATGCGAAAAGGTTTAAAACACCTGGTCAAAACAGGATCGCAGGTCACTGTAAAATAGTAGTCATTCATTTAACCAGGATGATAATCAAAGGACTTCAAAAGCAATATAGAAAGTTACCTGGATTTAAAAAACATTAACCCTTTCAAAGCTATTTTCCTAAGTAATAAAAAATAAAAAGCTAGTAAGAACACAGAAAGTTATCTTGATAAAATGCAAAATATTTGTTTCTTGGGCCAGTTACCAAAAAAGTAGAGAAAAACCTCTTGCAGTGTGATTGCTTCTCCTTATGGGAAGCCCATTTAGATAACCTGGAAGTTGAATCCAGCAAAAACAGTATTTGAATGTAATCAGACACAGGAAGAATGTGTGGTCAAGGGTATGAGAACACACCATGAGTGTAAACAAGAAAACTAGTACCTTGAGCAGGGAAATACATGGCTTTTAGTAACAGCATGGGAACTTTCCTGGTTACATGGAATAATTCAGACACATTCAGAAAAGCCAATTCTACAGAATCAAGTTATACTGGAGGAAAACATTGCTTTTTGTAGGCCATGAAGACAAATATTTTAGAATTAAGACTGTAACAGCAGAGTTATAATCAGAGGAAAAAAGTTACAGGAGCTGATGAAAAAGTTAAAGGAGAGCGTTATCACCTCAGTCAAGATTAAAGGTATACTTTTTCAAGGGGAGAAAGAGTTGAAAGCAGTGATGTATGCAGTAAGATGCAGCAAACGTTAAACTTCTGAGATATAAATCTGAGGAGCTTTGAGAGGAAAACTCTACCTCAAGAAATGAAATTACCATCCTAAGTGAAGAAGACAGCTTTACAAATGTGAAACTAGAAAATTAAATGAAGACTGTGAAACAGGAAAAAAAAATTTTTTTTTTCTAATGTAGTGGACCAAATTTTTAGTTTTGTATTGAGGATTGAGGGATATATTTATCTCAAACTTTAATCTTTGGAAAGACTTACAAATAATTCCCTTCTAATTACAGCCAACTTGATCATACGCAAATTTGTTTAATAAATCTACCCGTCACAAACCTTATAATGATTTACATAAACTGTCCATGACATGCTTAGATCTTTAGTTATTTTCTTATACTTTTAAATAACTACATTTAGGACAAAATATTTACCACACAAAATTATTTCTCAAATTTATCCTTTTTTTTGACTGGGTGTGATGCTTCACACGTGTAATTCCAGCACTTTGGGAGGCCAAGGCAGGAGAATTGCTTGAGCATGGGAGTTCAAGACCAGCCTGGGCAACATGGTGAGACCCTGTCTCTTAAAAAAAAAAAAAAATTCACTTTTCTTTTTAACCTTCTTTTACCTAAAATACATATTTATACCCTTAACTTTACACATCTGTGTCTCCTACTTACTGGTTCCTTTCTATCATGTTTCTATTTTCTTAAATTTACATTTTAAAATAACCTTAAATAACCTTCAGAATTTAGACAAAATTATTCTTTTTTCTCAATAAAGAACACTTTTTTTTGGCTTTTTAAGAATTCTCATTACAAACACATCTTACGTTTTGGGATACACTTTGTGTGCAGAATTATATATGTTAGTTAGAATTGTTAAGGTAACTTTTAG